GCTTTTTACCTTGACCTGACCCTCGGGCATGCTCAGTTCCTGAATAGACAACACGTTGTGATTCTTAGTAAACCAGTTGTCATGGGCCTCGGAGCACTTTTTGCACATGCGTATTTCACATGACACACAGAGATTGATGGCAGGGTTATGGCAGCGTGAACACACAGTAGACAATTTGGCTTTTTGCTGAATTTCCATGATTTCAAGGGTGTTCTTTAGAAATTGATTAGTTTGCACCTCAGCGACATCTTGATCTGGCTTAAGTGTAAACTCTGAGCAACATGTTGGGCAAGGGAATGTCTCGATATTCTTGTCACCTTCTCGTAGACGTTTAACATACTTTCCTGAACAACAATAAAAAACACAGCATGCATCTAGAGCAGGATATTTTGTGAAAAATAGTTGAGAAAACAATATATCCTCCAAACTTGCAGAGAAACGCATAAGAAGAAATAGCATCCTTCCTGGCCTTCAATCAGCTAATAAAATACAGCTTTAATTGAGATAATGTCGTATGTATTCATTTCAGTTAGTATTTTGCTGACTGGAGGGGAAAGATTAAGCTTTAAAGAAGTCTACGTAGTAATAATGAATGGCTGGTGATTGCAGGCATCATTCATTTTGGAGTATATCTTAGTTTCAATTTACATCTTAGCCGACATTATATTTTAAATTAGGTAGCTGGAAAATAGATTTCAAAAAACTTTTCAAAATTATGTTGAGGTTTGAGCAGCAGGAAGTACTTATATTATATGGTTATAAACAATTAGTTTAGCAAGCTAAAATTACATGTATGTGGGGCATGTTTGAATTTGCCCAACAAAAATAACTTTTGCACTAGATAATTATTTGCAGTTTGCTGCACAGGTAAAGTAATACAATACTGTTGTACATAAGTTCCAATATAACCAGGGAGCAGTGCGATAACTGCGATTTGTCCGAGTGTGAGCACAATTCTCATTTGCTTCTGAATTCTGAATCCAGGAGTTGATAATAAATTGTGCACAAGTATATAAATATTCTTTATAGAAGTCATATTTGTTTCCAGAGAAAGAATAATGAGGTCGTTTATTACGTAAACTAATTGCGTACAACCCCCCGGATAAAAAGTATCTTAGCTGAGCACCAATCGCTGCATGAGCTTACATTATAGTCATGCAGCTTCTGCGAATTTTCCATACTCGGTGTTTCTGTCAAATAACTCCAAAATACATTTTTCGAATGCGCCATATATTCAACAAGAATTACTTTCATGGATGAGCTTTTTGCATGAAAAGAAACTGAGTAATTCTACATTTTACTGCGAGCAACGTAATTACAGAGCGAATATGAAAATGAATGTGAAACAGCGCGAAATTTGCGTTTGTGACAGACTTATTCGGGGGGTTGTGCGCAACAATTTACGTATTAAACGACCTCATTATTCTTTGTTTGGAAACAAATATAACTTCTATAAAAAATATTTATATACTTTGTACAATTTATTGTCAACTCCTGGAAAAAAATCAGAAACAAATTATAATTGCGCTTACACTCGGACAAATCACACTGTTAGTGATTTTCAACCCCCACCCGTATAATTGCCAAAGCGCTGGTTGTGTTTTGCGAATTTTCTAGCCAAAACAGAAAGTTGTTTGAATATATAAAATATATCAGGACAATTTATGATAACTGTGGAGAAAAGACTTTCGGTGAGATCTCCTCTAAGCGCACGAGTGGCCGGTGCGAGAGATGTTGTTGTTCGAGTCAAATGACCGAAAAGCAGTTTCTCATTGACTGCGATTTGCGAATTTTCCTGACTAACGGCGAGCGCTTTCGAAGTAAAAATTCGATAATACAATTAATTATATCCATATAAAGAATGACATTCAGTATGGAAGATATATAGTTCCTAGTTTAAAAGAAATAGCGAAAAGTATTTCGCTGATCGCAAACCGCAAACATGACGCTGCCTTAACTTACATCATAATCATGCAGCTTCTGCGAATTTTCCCGACTTCGTGTTTTGGCCAAATAGCCTCAAAATACATTTTTCGAATGCGTCATATACTCAACAAAATTGACTTTGACGGACGAGCTTATTGCATGAAATAAAACTGAGTAAGTAAACATTTTATCGCGAGCAGCGTGATTTTAGCGCGAATATGAAAATGAATATGAAACAGCGCGAAATTTGCGTTTGTGACAGATTCATCCGGGGGGTTGTGCGCAACCAGTTTACGTACTAAGCGAACTCATTATTCTTTCTTTGGAGACAAATATGACAAATGATTTGTATACTTGTGCACAATTTATTGTCAACTCCTGGAAAAAAAATCAGAAACAAATTATAATTGTGCTCACAGTCGAACAAATCGCACTGTTAGTGATTTTCAACCCCCACCCGTATTATCGCCAAAAGCACTGGTTGTGTTTTGCGAATTTTCTAGCCAAAATGGAAAGTTGTTTGAATATATAAAATATATCCGGACAATTTATGATGACTTTCGATGAGAGGTCCTCTTAGTGCACGAGTGGCCGGTGCGAGGAATTTTATTTCGCAAGTGTCATGTTGTTAGAGTCAAATGACAAAAGCAGTTTCTCATTGACTGCGATTTGCGAATTTTCCTGAGTAAACGGCGAGCGCTTTCGAATCAAAAGTTCAATAATACAATTAATTATATCCATATAAAGAATGACATTCAGTATGGAAGATATATTGTTCGTATTTTGGGAGAAATAACGAAAAATATTTCGCTGATCACAAACCGCAATACGACGCTGCATAAAGACGTGCTTGGGTCAAATAAACTCAAAATATCCTCAAATAATGCCTAATGCATAGATCAAGAATGACTCGCAGAGAAAAATCTATTGCATGGAAAGTAGCTGAGTTAGTTATTCCACATTTTGTACGTCAGATACCCGGCTATCTTCATATTCATGTCTGAATCTGAATCTAAAAGTGAATATGAAACTGTAGAGCCGACGTTAACTTGCACATTAGTACTGTTGTCACTTTAATCGAAAGTCGAAACCATTTCTAGTGCGTTGTTATAAACATGATGGAAAAAGCCAAAATTTGAGCTTAAAATTTACTATGCAGATGCACGTTTTACGTTATTCCGTCCCCTATGGTTGTACATGGTTCTTAGTATAAAATCAATACCAAACATGTTAACATGACCTACCTAAACACCCTTTACAGAAATGATGAAGACAAGTCAAACTCCTTGGATCATTTAAATATCTAGAGCACAATGTGCAAGTGAGAAGATCTTTAACTTCAACAACACTACTACAGTCTGTCGAAGCACTTGCCATATTTGAAATGACAACGCCTTTACTTTAAAATTCAGACAACATGCGTCTTCTATGGCTGTCCAACTATTAAACACACCTTCCTGTTTCACCGAATCTACAATCTAGCGCGAGACAGCAAGACAAACATTCTTTTGCATACGTTGAAAGTAGGTCGGAGACTTCGTCAGTTGAAAACAATGACGGTGTGGCAATTAACCGTAGAAAACTTTTTCTATAAGAAAAAAAACAAAAGCATAGCGCTTTCCTTTGCTCGAGCGCATTTGGTTTCGAGAGATAGATTTTTGTAGCGGGTAACAATGACACATGCTGTCTGAATAGACTTGATGCGCCTTATTACGAGCGCCTATTTGACATCAAGCAGGTTATTATGAATGCTATTTGCCTCTGATTAATATTCCGACGAATACCATATATGAAGCATTCTACTGTTATTTTCAATATCTCAATACAGCGTGGAGTTTGCTGCTAGACTTCAGGACCTCTTTTAAAGAATTTCGAGTGGGGGCGGGGGGGATTGCAAAAAAGGACCTGTTTCCGGCGCAGCAAAGTATAAGGTTGATCGTGGCGAAGGGAGTACTTCGAAATTTTTTGCCATCTGTTGCCTGATTTTAAAATAGAATGCAAAATATTATGTTTTCACGCTCCACAGATGATATTCGTGAAATTCCATTCAGCAAAGGTTAGCTTACAGAATCCAATGCTAAAACATTGTCGGGAACTAATGTAACTGGCTTCACTTTTTATCAATGTTTCCTTTAAACAGGGGATTTTTACTAAGGGGCAAAATACTTAACTGGGGGACCAATGATTGGGGCCTAGATCCCCAGTCTATATGTTAAGAGAGGCCCTGCTTGACTTACTTCTAAACTCTGTTGCTTTGCTGTCATTTGACCCGCTCTCTGGCGCAGCAAAATATAAAGGTTGATCTTGGCCGAAGGGGGTACCTGGAAATTTTTTTACATCAGTTGCCTGATTTTCAAATAATACTGATAAAAAATATTATGTTTTAACACTCGATAAATGATATTAGTGAAATTACATTCAGCAAAGGTTGGCTTACAAAATCCAATGCTAATACATCAGTTGTCGGGAAATATTAATGCAATCCTAATTTCCTATCAATGTTTCCTTTAAACAGGGGATTTTTCATTTTCAACTGGGGGGCAAAATACCTAACTGGGGGACCAAAATTGGGGCCTGGTCCCCAGTCTATATGTTAAGAGAGGCCCTGCTCGACTTGTTCCTAAACTCTGTTGCTTTCCTGACATTTGATCCGCTGTGGTTTAAAATCAAGACCTAGCACGTAGTCGCTGAGTGAGAAAGGAACTACTGTAATTTGCATAAAAACTAAGCACCAGGTGTTACAAAAAAACCGGAAAAGAAGTCAAAGGCCGACTGACGGATGAGTGCAAATCAGCAAATTAAAGGAAAAGTTTAAACGCAGCAGCACAAACGAGCACACGGGCCTTTTGTTGATTCAGCATTATATACAACTTTTACAATTTTTGTCTGTCAGCCACATTTTTAGTCTGTCAGCCTCCTATTTGACTCCTTTTGATAAACGAAGTCAAAGCTCTGATGTAAAACAAATTATTACTGGTCTCCTCACACTAGTAGCAGTTTGCACGTCTGTAGTGTATGTCACGTCTGTAGTGTATGTGATTTAGCACCTTCTGATGTATGGTTTTTTAAGAGGAGTAGCTAAAACCATGATGGCGAATAGTTATGTCATGAAAAATTAAACCTTTTAAATTCAAGGCAATCGGTGTTAATTGATTGCGATCAAGGCATATTACAACGTCCGCGTCGTAGATTTAGTGCATCGTAAGGCCTGTTTACATGGAGCGGGTTGTCCCGGCTAGGCTAGGCGCATCAGATAAAAGCCTTAACCTGATTAGTCTTTCATTACATGCAGTTTTCACCTCACCTAACCGAGATGGCATGTAAACAGGCCCTTAAACACGCTAATGTTAACACGTGTCTAATTGAATCCGTTTAAAGACTTTAATCCATATTACCACTTAATTTTTTTGCAGATCTTTGCCATAGTAATCAGTGACTGTCAGGGCCGGCTGCCACCAGTATATACAGTATGACAGTTCTCAGTTAAATACTTCTATTTCTGTGGTTAAAAATTTCCACTGACCAGCAAGAAGGTTATTTGCTAGTTCACTGCCAGGCATACAACCAGAAGGAAGTTGATACGTGTATCCAAAATTACTCTGTGACTGATTAACTTGAGGATTGTTCACAATGCGCAAATCAAAACCTCCGCCAAAGGTTGGTCCAAAACTAGACTTACAGTAGATTGCATATCCCTCCTCGCGTTGCTTGATGTTAGCAATAAATGGAGCAAGGTTGTCTTTGTTTCGTAGTGAAAAAATAAATGAAGATTTGGAATTTGTATACCCAACATTACCTTAATTAAAAATGAAATAAAAGAACAGATCTGTCATGTAGTCAGGTTTTTTACGGACAAAACATCAAACCCATCGATACCTGCATTATTCAGATGAGTCAAAAAGAGTTTCGTATCTTACATTAACAAAATAGAAACTCCGTAATAAGTAAACATTTTGAAGATTAATTTCTACGTTTGACCATAGACAATCAAAGGTATTCATTCCTTTGAATGTCTATGGTTTGGTGGACTGGACTACGTGAAAAATATTATCAGTAATTTTCTCATGATAAGTGACAATTTCAAGACTTTCCAATAACCATGACAGATCATGATTCCAAAAATTTTTACACTGCGGACTTTTTGATGTTAAGCGCCGTAATTCTTATTTTACATAATTTCACATACCTTGCCAGCTTACGTCAGCGTATCCACCAAAGATACAATTATTGGCCTTCACCAAAACCACGGTCGGTCCTTTATTGTCACAATGACTGTGAAAATCTTGGGCTCTCCAACCATCTCTTGAAGCACGGTAACAAAGATTCCAATTACATTTCTTTCCCAACCATTCCTGAAGTTGTTTAATGAAGGCAATCTCTCCTTTCAAAATACTGGACGAATTTGTTAAATTGAAATGTCCATTATGCCCTAAAAATTAAGGATGGAGATCAGTCAGAAAACGGTCAGAAAGGTGTAATACGGCATTTTCCCGTGCGTAATACAGTATAGTTTCAAGTATACGTTTTTTGATGACCTTATTTGGTGAAATTTGTCGTCATATAATAATAAACGTCTTATGAAATGTGGTAAAACAACTGCCTAAACCAGAGAAAAAAAGCGCCTCGGAGTTTCGACCCAATTAAGTGCCTTTCTAGGAAAATTAGTATAACGAAAGGCCTATAACAAAGGACCGACGAAGCTCAAAGTCAAGTCAAGATAATTTTTGGTCTATTAAAGGCAGTAATAGGCCTTTTCGATAATTATGTCACAACATTATCGTTTTAAATTTAGAACCACCTTAAATGAAAGTTTTACTCTCATGAGGCACATGAAAAGATACAAAACATCCTTCTTCAACACATGCATCAAAAATTATTTTTCATATAAGCCTCACACGAGAACGAGGCTCCCGGTCTTGGCCCCTCATTCTCATGTTATAGCTTATTTCCACATTTTTTGACCAAAATTAAAACTTTTATTTAATGCATGTGTTCAGGAAGATGCTTTGCAGCTCTGCTTGTGGTTCATAAGAATAAAACTTTAATGTAACTAAAACTAATATTATATCTCAACTGTAAATCATCCAATCAGAAAGCTCGATTGTACCACGTGATCAGTAAATTAATCATGGAGTTCCATCGAATTCTTTCAAATTATGCTATAAAAGTCGAACACCCCGCCCGAATTTTTTCACATTATGCTATAAAAGTCGAATAATAATGCTGCGACATAATCATTGAATAATGAATAGGTCTATTGTTATACCACATTTGATAGGAAGACACTGAAATAAAGATGCTGAAATGCTACCTAGGCGAATTATTTTGAAAAATACCTTCAATATGTCCCAACTTATCAACAACTTCATCAACATTGATATTATTAATATCACCAGGTACATGCTGAATATTCCCATCATTGACTGCTGTTAGATCCTCAGGCTTTTCTTTTTCCAACTTTTCAATACTTTCATCAATCTGTTTTTGCAAGGAAAGAATTTCTTCAATACCTCCCCTCTTTAGGAGGCTTTTAGGCAAGGGCATTGAAGCTTGTAGTTTGTCACGATAATCTTTAATCTCATCATGTTGTTTGTTTAGTTCACTCTGTAATTCATCATAAGCCTTGTCCACTTCTTCATTCATCTTCTTTGTCCTCTCATCAACTTTTTCTGTCACAATCTTCAAAACTTTTTCCTTCTGTTCTTTGATCTTATCTTTTGCAGTTTTAGCATTTTCTTCAAGAGACTTCATTACACTTTCAACATTATTCAAAGCTTTGTTTGCTTCAGATAATTTCTTATCAAGGGTCAAGCAGTCTGATTGCAGTATTTCTTTTTGTTTCTGTGCAACTTCACTCATAGCCACGCACAAATGATCAGATTTCTGATGATTTAATACGACACAGTCAATACAGCAAAGTTCCTTACAACTTTCACAGAAATAATCCAGCACTTTGTCCTTGTGTTTCATGCAGTGAAGCTTCCTTCTCATTTTCATTTGACTCTCAGGATCACTTAGTCGTTGTACTGATAAAACATTGTGATTCTTATGAGCTGGCCAGATGTCATGCAATTGTGAACATTTCTCACACATGAAGATTTCACATGATGAGCAGTGTTTAATAGCAAGATCTTTGCAGCGAAAACATTCAGTAGAACTTTTGGCCTTTTGTTGAATAACCATAATCTCAAGCAAATTCCTGATGAAGCAATTACTGGTCATTTCGGAGAAATCTTGTTGTGTCTTGAACATAAACTTTAAACGACATTTAGGGCATGGAAATGTGTGGATGCTTTGATCACTACCACGGAGACGTCCAACATACTTTTCTAAATTCATATAACAACACATGACATGACAGATGTGTTATATTGTATGAAATAGAGTTATTAGCTTTCAAGTAAATATAAACTTTTTTATAAAAAATGGACCAAAAAAATTCCCAATACATTTTTATTCAAACATATTGTCATATTCTTTGAAAATATCAGGGTAAGTTAGAATAAATTACCACAGCTTTAATTTGCAATCATATTAATTGGTATATTTTTATGTAAAAATATTCTTTAAATAATAACCAAGAGCTTTGTTATTAAGATTATTTGAATTAAAAATTAGGCTGCATATTTATTCAGCTGACTTAATTATACCCTACATAATAACTTTTCTGACAAACACAAAATATCTGCTTTCACAGAACATTGCTTATAATTGCTATACAAAATGTACCACATAAATACAAATAGAGAGGTGATTTATTGTAGCAGTCCTTAACAGAAAAATTGAATGAACTAGTAGAAAGTTTTAAAATACTGTCGGTACTTAAAATTAATATAAAGAAAGTGTCCAATTCAAAGCTTAATTTCACATATAGCTTCTTTTTAGTTTATTTTGATATTGTGCAAGGTAAATGAAGAGGCCAGCTAGGTTATAACAATTAAAATTATTATAACTAGTTCATGCTTATGCATGGTTTAATTATGTTTTTACAGAATTAAAGAATTAAATGTTGACATATTCAGTTATACCACTACCTATTGTCCTCAAATACAAAAATTTATACAAAAGTTAAAGCTAATTTGTGCATATAATTAAAGCCCCCCAAACTAAAGGCTTATGTCATTAATGGTAAGTAAAAAGTCTTGGATGAAGTGCGTGCATGAGACAATTAGTGAAAAATTGTCTAGAATAAAGGGGACTGAATCCAGCTTATTCAACCATGTGTAAAAAATTGCAAACAATCAGTGGTTGAGCATAATTAAATTGCAACATTGAAATTTTGATTGGAGAATGGCTGGTATCAAGGTCATAGGAAGATGTTTGGACAAATGCTGTAATTGCTGTTTTCAAGGTTATGTGGTTCTTACGGCCTCATCGCTGGATATGTGTGTATGTTTTTCTACTATTTTACTTTATTGTTGTAAATGGTGATTTAAGTCTACTGCAAAAAAGTCTGCAATTAAATAAAAGTTTCAGTTCAGTTCAGCTAATACGGCAAACATATAGCAGCTGCTATGTGTATCAGAGGAGCGTGTCATACCTATTTGCACTTGTAAGATATACAGCCAGATGAGTAGTAATATCTTTGTTTAATTACAGACTTTACAGTACATTAATCAAATCGAAACCACGCTGCCCTGATGCAGAGCCCTGATGTAAATTTTACAAAATGCATACCCAAAGCCAAATTTCGTTACGCTACGCAAATAAACAGAATTTTAAAATAAAGTAATACACGTACCCAAACATCCTTTACAGAAGTTATGAAGACAATTCAAGCTTCTTGGATCATGTAGAATATTTGAGCACAACGAGCAAGTGAGAAGATCTTTGACATCATCTACAGAACCACTGCATGTTGAAGCATTCGCCATTTTATTTAGCCAGCAGTGGCCAGGGGCGGATCTAGGGGTAGTCACACCGATCACGCGACTAACGTAAAAATTTCGCACTAATTAAATGCAGTGAGATTATATTTTTCAGATCGCAGTCCTGTTGTAAATTTGTACAGTCGCATAATAATTTTTGCGCTTGATAAATTAAATAAACACTGATCTCGTTCGATTTCCTCGCTCCTGAATGCAGACTTGCGCAATATTTTCATTCGTTTCTATGGAGACAAAAATTCTGCTCGTTCTGGAGGTTTGGTCTGCTCGTTTTGGAGGTTGGTTAGGGGCGTTTCTCATCAATCTGATTGGCCCATTCGGTAGTTTCCATGGAGACAAAAATTCTGCTCGTTTTGGGGGTTGGTCTGCTCGTTTTGGGGGTTTGGTCTGCTCGTTTTGGGGGTTTGGTCTGCTCGTTCTGGAGGTGTGCCTGTGAGCCAGAGCCTGTGAGCTTTCGTTTTGAGCTTTCCGGATGACTTCATGCAGAGAAAGCTTTTGCAGTCGAATACAGTTCTTTGCAACGGACGCTATTTGTGGCACTGATAACCATTGCTGATAACATGTTGTCGAGTAATTTTGCTATGGAGGTTTGTTTTCATAATATACTCGTTTGCGTAACGAATCGAGAAGTGTAATGTCGAGTGTTCTACGCGAAGGTAAATTTAATTTTCACTCTCTGTCCATGTTTATTTAAACTATTCTCCGATAATACTATAAGTTAATATAAGTTAATATAAACTATAAACGGAACGATAACATAAGCTGTATATTTCACTTGGACTTTGAAGCTGCCTTTATTAGCATTTATTTGCATTCGCCCGCCGCCGGTCAAATGTCATAAAATTATATTAATATTTAGAATTTGGAGCAGTTCATATCATAGGCAGCCCAAAAATAGTGGTAGAAAGCTGTAACTTATTGATTGTGACTAAACTCGCCCCATTCTTTTTCCACTAAACGCGCGCCGCATTGTTGCTCATTAGTAATCACATCAACATAATAATAATATATTATTATGAACTTATCCACCGTTTAAGCTAAAACCGGGCTTCATACAACCGCCCCCATTTTAACCTTAATACAAAGATACTGTTTACAACTACATATTTAGTGCATACTATTCAGGTTCACTCATTCAAGAGAATTTATTTAATTTTGACTTATCCACCGTTTAAGCTAAACGGGCTTGATACAACTGGCCCCAGACTGTTAACACCATAGAACACGTATGATTCTGATTGGCCGATTATGTTAAAATGAAATACTTGCACCTTGTCACAGCATAAGGGAAATCAGATCCTGTTCAGACGTCATGCATATTGGACGACAGATCATAGATATTCAAGGCAATATTTTGTTTTTCATATATTTGTTTGCTAATGCCTTAAAAAGTAGTGATAACTTTAACTTTAACATAGTGTTTTCTCAACAGCCATACTAATCTACTCTATTGACTAATTCACATGACTGGTGTATCAATCGTGCTATATTTTTGTTATAACTTTCTAGATTCTATAGTATTGGTTAGATGGTCACATATGCATGATACTTTAACGGCAATCGATGTATGTTTATTTGTGGTAACAGTCAGTAGAAGACTTCAATTTCTGTTGTCAAGAATTGGTACTGACCAGCAAGAAGTTTCTTTGCTTCTTCACTGCCATAGGCATAACCAGAAGGTAGTTGGTATGTGCTTCCAAAATTGCTGGAGGATTGATTAACGTTAGGATTGCCACAAATGAACAGATCATTACCTCCACCAAAGACTGGTCCATTAGAATTATAACAGTAAATTGCACTCTGCTCCTGACCTTGTTTGATTTTGGCAATAAATGGACCAAGGTTGTCTTTGTTTCGTAGCGAGAACATAAATGAACAGTTCGAATACCTGTAATAATTTCCTTTAATAAATGAGAACATTGTACGTTAATTACTCGGGTTCCAGTTGGAAAATGGGCTCGGTTTTTGCGTCACGAGTTTAGGAAAATCACGCGTGGGCGGCACAAAGTCTTCGAACGAATCGAAATCGTCCTTGGATCGTTTCTCGCGCGGGTTTCACGAACATGCCATACTGACATAAAAATTAGGTGTTACGAACTCAAGCGAGATAACTGTAGCTCGGTTGAACGCCAGAACAGGCGTTCTGAATTGTTTATCTTTAAAAAGCAACCATTAACGCCGCATTTATAGTGAACTGGCTTTGCAACAAGCTGCCCTAGTGGCGCCCACTTTCTTCAATAGTCAGCGTGCCGACTTTCAACTATTTTCAATTCAATAAAGGTGAATATCAAATTTCATCGATTCACGCCTTTCTTTTTCTAAAACCTTCGGTTACAAAGCGTCCGCCCGTATCCAGATTCGATGCGTTGTCAAAAGTTTCCAATAAGTAAAGAGCGTTTTCAAAAGTTTATGGATAAACCATGCGTTTTAACCAGATACGTGTGGACGCTAAGCCCCCTCCCCCAGCACTTGGATCGTTTGGAATAAAGAGTTACTTAATGGTTTCCGTGTTTGGATGGCCAGATCCAGACACGCGGGAATGTTGCGAGAGTTCAGAAAAGCGCGCGAAACACGAGCGATCTTCTCTTAACTCTCGCAACATTCCCAAGTGTTTGGATCAGGCCATCCAAACACGGAAAACCAGTAAGTAATTGCAAGCTTCATTTCAAAAAGCGAATTTGAAGGACGTTTGAAGGCAGGGGTACACTCTACTGAATAATTAATTACTCATGCTTACCACTATACCCATCGTAATGCCATGGTTGGTCAGTGTATCCACCAAAAATACAATTATTGGCTTTCACCAAAACCACTGTCGGTCCACGATTGTTACATTGTGAATGGAAATTTTGAGCATTCCAACCATCTCTGGAAGCACGGTAACAAAGATTCCATTTACATTTATTTCCCACCCACTTGTGTAGCCGTCTCATGAAGGTGACATTTCCTTCCAAAATACTTGAGGAAGTTTTTAGATTAGCGGGAATGACGGCATCTAAAAACATGTTCTCATATTTAAAAGTGCGCATACGATTGAAGATTTTTGACTGAAAATATGGAATAGCTTTAAATATTACACGCAAATACATGCTTCTGAGAAAGTAAAAAGTTAAAAACCTCGCAAGTTTATTTCAACGATTAGTGGTCGTAAGCACACACCTTTCACATGACCAAACTTATCAACAATTCCTTTAGCACTGACTTGACTAATATCTCCAGGTACATACTGAATATCACCATCATTCGCCGGAGTGAGATCGTACGGTTGCTCTTTCTTTAGCTTCTCAATATTTTCATCAATCAGTTTCCGTGCTGAGAGAATTTCTTCGATAGACCCCTCTTTCAGCAGTTTCTTCGGAAAGGAGATTGAGACCTGGACCTTTCTAAGATAAGCTTTAACTTCATCATTTTGTTCGCACAGTTCATTGCATAATTCATCATAAATCTTGTCCACTTCCTCGTTCATTTTCTTTTCTTTCTCGTCAAGTTTTTCCGCCACAACCTTCAAGATACTTTTCTTGTGTTCTCTGATTTGTTCTTTCGCTGTTTTAGCATTATCCCCGAGAGATTTCATCACTTGAGCGATGTTTTTCAATGCCACTTTCCCTTCGGATAATTTCTCGACAAGTGTAGCACAATTCGATTGCAAAGTTTCTCTTTGGTTCTTCGAAATCTCGCTCACCGCCACGCAGGAATGGTCTGGCTTCTGATGACTTAACAACATGCAGTGTATACAACAGAGTTCCTTGCACGTTTCACAATAAACTTCGAGTACATTTTCCTTATGTTGCTTGCAGTAAGGCTTGCTTTTTACCTTTGCCTGACCCTCGGGCTTGCTCAGTTCCAGCAGGGATAACATGTTGTGATTTTTCTTCATAAACCAGCTGTCATGTACCTCGGAGCACTTTTTGCACATGCGTATTTCGCATGACACGCAGAGATTGATGGCAGGGTTATGGCAGCGTGAACACACAGTAGACAAATTGGCTTTTTGTTGAATTTCCATGATCTCCAGGATATTCTTTAGAAATTGATTAGTTTGCACCTCAGCGACATCTTGATCTGGCTTAAGTGTAAACTCTGAGCGACATGTTGGGCAAGGGAATGTCTCGATATTCTTGTCACCTGCACGTAGACGTTTAACATACTTTCCTGAACAACAATAAAAAAACACAGCATGCATCTAAAGCAGGATATTTTGTGAAAAATAGTTGTGAAAACAATATATTCTCTAAACTTGACAGGAAAGAGGAAATAGTATCCTTCTTGCTTTCAATCAGCTAATAAAATACAGCTTCAATTGAGTCAATGTTGTTATATATTTCAGTTAGTATTTTAGTTATTATACATTTCAGTTAGTATTAATTTTAATTAGTACGTTATTATATATATATTTCAGTTAGTATTTTGCTGACTGCAGGAGAAAGATTATAAAGCTTTAAAGAAGTCTACATGGTTTAGATTTATCCTTCTTACTTGCTAGTAAAATAATTAACTAAAATTGATACTTGATAAAATAAAGTCTTTAAAGACTGGCAGGTGATTACATGCATGCACTATATAATATCAATTAATAGCAATATCATCCATTTTCCAGCATCTTAGTTTCAATTTACATCTTAGCCAACATTGTATTTTTAATTAGGTAAATATAGCAAATAGATTTCAAAAAACTTTTCAAAATTATGTCCTGGTTTGAGCAACAGGAAGTATTATATTATATGGTTATAAAACAATTAGCTTAATTAGCATGCTAAAATGACATGTATGTGGGGCATATGTTTGCATTTGCTCAACAAAAATAACTTTTGCACTACATAATTATTTGCAGTTTGCTGCACAGGTAAAGTAATATAATACTGTTGTACATAAGTTCCTATTATATAACCAGGGAGCAGCGTGGCAGCGTAACTAACTCTCCTGACGAAGGTCCTCAGGTTGAAACATCCAGAAGTGTTTTGTCTATTTTAGGCAGTTGTTATATACCACATTTGATGCTAATACTGTTGTACTATATATAAATATATATGCACAATATATATATAAGCTGTACTACAATATCATTGTCAAAATCATTAAAGCAATCACATGCCAATTACTTCGTTTTAAAGCAACAAAACTATTTGATAAATTCGTGATGATAATACATATATATCTGAAACCTAGGATCCAAGCCAAAAAAGCTAGCTACAAATCAAATTATTGTTCATTAAGGTTAGAACTCAATATTTCACTTTTCTTTGGCCAATTTTGCCCACTAAAACTCCCCTAGTAAAATATTTGGAGTTCAATAGCCACACCCTCTAGGTGTTATGCCTAGCTTGCACATTAAATAGTACTGTTGTCGATTTAAAATCGAAAGTCGAAATCATTTCTAGTACGTTGTTATAAACATGATGAATAACCCAAAATTATAATTTACCATGCAGATGTTTTACGTTATTCCGACCCCTATGGTTGTACATGGTGCTTAGTAAATCAATACCAAACATGTTAACACTTAACATTACCTACCTAAACATCCTTTACAGAAATGATGAAGACAAGTCAAACTCCTTGGATCACTTAAATATCTAGAGCACAATGTGCAAGTGAGAAGATCTTTGACTTCAACAACACTACAGCTGTCTGTCGAAGCACTTGCCATTGAAATGACAACGCTTTTTACTTCAAAATTCAGACAGCATGGGTCTTCTATGGCTGTCCAACTATTAAACACGCCTTCCTATTTTGGTTCAAACGGTTTTTCTTTGTTGAATTTGATACGATTTCAAAGAAGTGTAAGTCGTGATTCTTGGAATCATGAATATTAAATCTGATAATCATGAATGATAATTAAGGATTAATGCACTCAAGCTGTGACTGTGAGTGCATTATCGGGTTTTACATGCACGAGTTCACAAACAAGGAACGAGAAGTTCAATACTGCACGAAGCCGAGTGCATTATTGAACTTCGAGTTCCTTAATTGTTTGTGAACGAGTGCATGTAAAACCCGATAATGCACAAACAAAGAGTGCTTTAATGCTTTTAATATTCATTATTATATCATTTTTAAACTTAACTAAACAACACATGTTTATCTTTAAATAATAAAACTACCCCAGCGGTTGCCCGTTTAGTATTTTTCGTTGTGGATTCATCTATAATTACATTAATTTCCTCTTCACTAAGTTCGGCAAATTTTTGCAATAAATCCAATAACGGCACTGCCGTGGCCTTTGTGTCGTGGCGTTGTTGCTATATAACATTCACTCACGTGGTACAAATCGACCAATAAGAACGTAAGTTTACAAACGTTTAAAAATTGTTACCAACGGGAAGCCAGAATTTCTGGCTTTCCGCTTTGGATATCGATTATCCCCTACCTCCTCCCGCTTAACCCTGGGCTAGGTTAATAACATAAATCTTTTCATGAATTTTCTCAATCGCTTGTTCACGAATCCGAATTCGCAGCTATATATGGTTACGAAATGTATGTCCATGGTTGTAGGTATGTGGTATGCATGAAGTTAAGGTTACTTCAAAGTTTGGCGGACATGTTAGCTACTATATATTCATGGCGGAATTTGGTTCGAGGTTTACCTTGAGATAATCAATGAGATAAGCTTGTCCACCGGTGCCCAAATTGTACAAAAGACTAGTTAACTTTTCACTGTAGTAAGGAAAGAATTAGCCAATCAGAGTTGTGATTTTTGAGTTAGGTAGGATTTAACGTTCTAACGGATCCTAAGGCTCACATCACTACGATAGCACACCAGCTCTTACACTATATTTTGCCCGCTGCCGATCGGTAGGGATGGAGACGGTATCCGAGCGAAACGATCGAGCTAGGGGTGAAACGGTGTTTCTTTTGAGTTTGCTGTTTTCGGCGCAGATAATAGCTCTACGAACCATGCTATTTTAACGGTACCTCCTCCATCCCGTGATCAACTGTCACACGTGAGTCACTGAAGTGAAACCGTGGAATAAACGATACGAACATCAAAGTACACACACACACACACAAAAAGAAGAAAAATACCTGTAAATGTGGCGATCATTAATGAATTTACCTTTACCCCAAACACCAATTCAACGACCAAAACGGGTGTGAAAAGAACTGTGCTTAATCCTGCAAAACAAACTAACAAAAAAAACCAAAAAAACCCAGCGAGATTAATAAGACGCTTTTCCCGTAGAGTTCACAACATCGCGTGAAGTCGTTTGGGAAAAGGGAGGGATGGGTCACGCAAGCAACTAACAACTAGATCAGGCAAACTGGGCTCATATTTATACTCACCGGAGGGGGCAAGTAACCGACCGGACCAGCGTCCAAAGACCCGAAACACTACGATACGAAGACCCGTATAACATTAACTTCCTTTATTATTTAATAATAAATACATTTAACTATGCAAAATGTAGTTAAAGTCTTAAAGAGTTTTATACAACCGGTCCCAGATGGTTAGAAACACTTATATAAACACTTGAATACTTATCCAAAAGTCCGTGATTTGTCACCGATGATTAATATGTAATTTTTTTTATATTTCAGTACTGACCCGGATATGGGAAACGGCATCAAAGCCGTGCCAAACCAAAACAGCAGGCCTAAATTCAGTAATAAAAATTTCAAAATTCTGGAGGAGCAGGGAAAGTCCCTATGGTTCTGGAAACATCACTATGCAAAATGGAAAGTAATTGAGGATAAACATGCATCAGAGGATATTTAGTGTAGATAGAAAATTGAGCGTAATCTATGTTCTTAATATCTAAATTTCTACAGTATTTGTAGTGTTATACAGGGTGAGTAAAAAAAAACTGACATCTTTGAAATTCAAATTAGCTGCGAACTTATTGCTGGAATATGACAATTCCCATGTACAATCAACAAAAACGATTTGATAAAATTGTTCTTTTGTATTTACAGAGCTTAGAATGCATTTTAACTCCCAATGGGAACAAACTTTATGTTTTAGGTTAATTAATATGATATGCTTCGTATAGCTATGAAATATTTTAAGCAACTTCTGTCACATTAAAGCCGCTATGCCACTAATTTGAATTTCAAAGGTGTCCGTTTTTTTTGACTCACCCTGTATTGCAGTTTATGTCTGTCGTAGGGGGAAACCCTTTGAAGCCGAACTAGGGAATGTCCCACCGGATCAGGTAATAATACACCTACGCATTGTTTCAAATGCGGTTTCTATGACCACGCCCGCAGATACAAAATTTTGTTACATTGAAATGCTCATTTTTATTGTTGCAACGCAAAATAATTCAGCCCCCCAAAATTTACTCAATATACTAACCAAATGATATTATGCTAAGGCTGGCTTATCGTTATCTTACACAAATTGGGAGTCAATGTCGATATATATTTTCATGTGTATTTATTCGCCTTCTCTCTCAACACCTCAACATCTCAATAATATTAACATCCCAGCTTGGAAAAAACAACTTCAATAACTTAACAGGTGCTAATGACCATATATGCCTTTACATGGTCATGAACTAGAATTACTGTTAAAATGTAAAAGGTTGAAAAACATATTGGGATAGGGAAAATCCCTAGGGGATTCCCGTAAATTGCTTAGACTTCGTATACATACACAGCACTAGAGAATTTTTTTTAACTAAAATTTTGTACCGTTTCACTATAAAATATGAGTGTATCAGTGACAATACATTCCAGTGAAAATTCAGCATGCAGATTGCAGATGGTTTCAAAATACAAGGATAATGTTATGTAAATTTCTAGAGCACAATGTGCAAGCGAGACGATCTTTGACTTCATCAGCACTACTACTACAGTCTGTCGAAGCACTTGCCATTTACTGTAAAAAACAAGGGTAATGGGTTTGTTCTTGGCGCTAATTTAAAGAACCAAGTTCCCGTTTAGTTAGCTACTGCGGCTTAGAACCCAAAAGATGCAATTTGAATTCTATTTCGACGTCTTATGATGAGACCTTGTCGTGCATGCCATATGATGTTGTGTATTGTTTATCAGTTTTAATTCTCGAAAAATCCCTGAGGAGCAGGGAATGTCCTTAAGGCTCTGGAGATATCACTATGGAAAGTGGAAAGAGATTGAGATAAACATGCATCAGAGGATATTTAGTATAGATAGAAAATTGAGCGTAATCCATGTACTTAATATCTAAATTTCTACAGCATTTGTAGTGCTATATTGTAGCTTATG